AACACCCTCGGGATTGGCTGAGTCCTGAAGATGATGTCAACAGTCCCTCTGGTCATGTGATTCACCCACAAAAGCTTCTATTTTGCATGATTATTTTATTTTTTTCAAACTAGTGGCCTATAAATGTATCCCCTATCACTAATCTCTCTGATTGTTAAATCTTCCCATGTTGGCCTTCTGACAGGTTTTTAGGCTGGTGCCTCAAAAAGTTATCTTGTAGCTATTGCACCAAAAGGAACTTTCCTAAGCCCTGACCTGGGGGCGGGATGAAAGTAATAAATGAATAAGGATGGGCACAGTCACACAATGCAGCCTTTGGCCCTTTTGGGTTTTGTTTTTTTGTTTGTTTATTTGTTTTTTAGTAACGTACCCTGGCTAATAGAAAGGTGCCAAGGAGTGTCTGGGTCTCATACCTGGTCATGTGCCTGATTTGTGCAACCAGGATGTATCCCAGCACTTCATCAATCAGCTGCAGGTAGCCATGGCAAGTTACTCATATCTTATGCAAGTGCTAATAGGATTCCAATTAAAATGTCTATAAATAGAAAGTGCTTCCTTTCTCTCTCCCTTTCAACATTGAACACATTACTTCAAAAGTACTGCAGACATTTGGGTAGACTTCCGTTTCTCTCAGGCTGGACATACAGTTGGACCCCTATATCTGCCGGATTACAGTATTACCAGCCCAATAGCGTATTGGAGGACCAGCAAGTATTTATTTGTTAATACTGCCCATTGGGGGGGGGGAATCATTTAACCCTTGCAGTGCAGAAGCAGTTTTTTTTTCTAAACTAAAACCTCAGCATTCGAGTTTTAATTGCAGTATTGGCACTTTGAAATAAATAAGTTGATTTTGTGTTGCAGTTTGGGCACTCAGACTCAAAAAGGTTCACCATTGCTGCTCTATTCCATGGTGCTTCCTCTGCTACATTTCTTCTCTCCTCAGCAGTGTTCTCCTCTTGTCTTGCTGTTCTTCCACCTCCAGTGCTTGCCCCCGCTGTTGTTGCTTAAGGGTTTTGTCTATGTATTCTTAATCTTCTTTTATACGGTAATCTCAAGTGTGGTCACACATTGCGCTAGTGTTTTTTTTTTAACTTTTTGTTCCAACAGTGCTTCCAGTTTGCACTTGCTGCATATACACACTATGTTGTTCTCTCGGAAACATTGCACATAATTTACGGGTCATTGCTTCTGAAGTTTCTTTCCTCTGTAACTCCCGTTACCTTTTTCTTACATATGTTTCTCTATGTGTACCCTGTCTTTTGTTTTGTCTGCTTTGAAGGATGCTGGAAAAGCCACTAATATATACTGTAATTATATCCAGAAAGCAAATATTTCATTAGGTGCCTCCCCTGTGAAACATCTGTTAGCTCTCCTGGTTGCTTGCTTCTTGGAGTCTGTCTTAGCTTTATTCCTCTGCTGTGCTCTGTTAGGAGTCACCAAAGAGAAAGACCCTCCCAGTACTCACGGCTGCTACATTTTTGCTCTTAGAACATACCCCTGTATCAGCAAGTGGAGGATCATCACATTTACAACACCTCTCATTAAATATTTATAAAATTCAGCACATGCAAATGACAGCATTTCAATTTCAGAGTCAGTAAGGACCGCTATGTTTTCTGACCAGTGTTGATAAAAGGCCAATGATAGCCCAAATTCTTATTTCCATTTCTTCATCTCCTGCTGCTGTTCTTCCTAGAGTACTGATATGGTAACAGGGCCACTAGTTAGCTTTATGGAAGTATGTTTGTAATTACTGCGAGAAATTTGTTTTCTGTGAATGCCCAGAGACACTCTGATATGATGATTTATTTCCTGAAGCCAACTCTTGGCCTTCAGCATCATTTCCATAGCTATTCCACTTATGGCAAAAGGGACCCCTCCTCATACCACATATAGACACTTCCCCTGAAAGTCCTCTTACAGAAAATGGAGCCTTCAGCTTATTTTGAGGGTGGCGCAGTTTCAAGGAAGCTGAGACTTTATGAGGTGGACATAATTCAAAGTCAAGAGTGGGGAATCTGTGGCACTTCAGCTGCCAGTGTCCTTACTACTGACAATCAAGCTGAGGCTGATGGGAACTAGCTTCCAGCCATATCCGAAGGTCCACAGGTTGCCCAGTCCTGCTCTAGCAGAATATTTGTGTTCCGTTTTGATGGGAAAGCACTTGTTAAAATGCAGTGCACATTGCACAGGGTACTAAATTGATCATAAGAATTTGCTGCCATTGTTCCTTCCGCCTCATCTGTACCAGAAACTACCCCAGTTGCCGCAAAGGTTTTATTAATTCAATTTGGCAACATCCAAAGACTAAAACACATGGCGCCTTAAAGACTACCCGTGTATTATATTTTAATGCAAGCTTTCGTTCGTCAGATATATGGAAACAGAATGAAACGTAGATGAAATGTCAGTTTCACATGCTAAATGTTCATCGGTTGCTTGCAGTAATTAGGCTTATGTTTATTTTAGGGGCCCTCTTGTAAAAATTTCTCAAGAAAACAAGAGCCTGGGTCTGAGCAGAGATGAGAGGTGGAAGGGAAGAGGGGGCTACGGACTGAAGATGCAAAACCAACAAAAACCACCCCGGGAAGCTACTCAGGATATGGCGAGGAAACGCCCAGCAGGGCTTTCTCAGCGGGAGTGCCTGTGACTGCGTGCCCTAAGACTTTTCTGGCAAGTAGTGCCCCATTGGGGAAAAGCGAGACGCTGCCCCACACGAAGAGGATGAGCATCAGGCGAAGGGCGCGGAGACAATAAGGCAAAAACGCCTTCTTCCCTGCAGCCCCTTCCGCTGTCGGCGTTGCTAGGAGACAGAGACGCCGCTCCACCACCGGCCCGGCTCTTACACCCACTTCCGGATTCTGTTGGGAAGCCGCGCCATCCCGGGCGAGGCGGGAAACGATTCTCGGAAGGGGTTCAGTTCGATACCGGAAGTCTCGTCAAACGGCGAGGGCGCGATCCCCTTGGGCTTGTGCCAGCGCTGTGGCGGCGAAGAAAAGCAGAGCTGAGGAGGAGGGTGTGTCAACAGCGACCCCTTATTGTGAGGCGGAACTGAGGCAGACGTTAAAGAGAGACCGCCCTCCTGCGGCTTTCTCCGTTTAAAATCCTTGTCTTTCAAAACTCGTCGCCCTATCAAACGCGATATGGTTGGGACGACAGCCGAAAGCGGAGCTGCTATTGGCTGAGGCGCGAATCAAGCGATTGTAGGGCTTTTCTTATTGGCTTCCAAAAGGCGCGAAGGCTCGTTTCGGGGACCTTTCGCAGGCTCGAGGGTGGGAGGCGGACTTCGAGGGCGCCGGAGAGTCTTCAGCCCACGCGGCTCGGTGACAACGGCCCGCCCTTCACGGCTAGCGTGCGCCAATCAGCAGCCGAACTTCAATGGCGCGTGGGCCCGCGATTGGGCGACTCTTTTGTGACGCGTTCCCTGCCCTGGCTTGGAGGCCGTTGCCCCTGAATAAAGTCTCTTGAGGGTCTCTGACTTCGCGCCCTTCCCTGTGCTGAAAGCGTTACTTTTAAGGGTTAGGCCCGACCTGGTCTTTGGGAAAAGGTTGAACCCGTGAAAGCGGGTGCACTTGTCTTTTCAGGTAGGCTAAGGGAGGCACTCCTGTCTTCATTCGAGGCCTGTGGCAAAGGGCCTGCGCGTAGCGGGCAGTCAGTCATGTTTCGTTTACAAGTTCGCACCAGTACGAATAGCCCATATCACCATGGTAGCCAAAAAACGGAAATCAGGTGGCTAAGCACCAACTAGGCCTTGTCTTCCTTTGCACAGTGGATATGGAAAACCAAGGTGAACTGAAAGGTCTCCCAATAGAGCCTCTTAAGTTCTTGGCACCCTGCCTTGCAAAGGAAAAAACAAATCCTCAAACATTTGGTTTTATTTTTAAAAGCTGGGACAAGGACAAAGCTGCGGAGCTCAGTCCTATTTGAGATGTAGACTCTCATCTTTATTTATGTCGCACCTTGCCCTAGAGCTTTATGAATGGCCCTGTACTCTGGAGCATAAGAATGGAAAGGGGGTGGGGGTCTAAACTCCATATAACCATTTTGTCTCAATCATTCCAGAGTGCAGGTACACATCATAATGGGCTCAAGCTACAGGAAGTCTTATTTTGGCTGAATATAAGGAAAAAATATCTTAACTGTTAGAACAGTATGGCAGTGGAGGTGGTGAGTGCTCCAATGCTGGAGGCATTTGAGAAAACTGGAAAATCATCTGTCTGATGTATGGTTGTCTAATTTTCTCTTGAATGTTTGCAGTGCTGGAGAACTTGCCACCTCCCAAGGTCATTGGTTCCATTGCTGTACTGCTCTAACAGTTAGGAAGTTTTACTTGTTATCTATTGACCTGGATTCCTGCACTGAGCAGTGGATTGGACTTGATAGCCTTAGAGGCCCCTTGCAACTCCATTATTCTATTAGGCTAACTCCAAAGTCAAAAAAATGTTGCCTGGCATTCAGGACTTTCCTGAGCTATTCTTTAGGCTATTTATTTATTTAAAATATGTTTACCCTGTCTTTCTCCTTAAAAAAGAACCCAAGGCAGATTACAGCAATTAAAAGACAATGTTTAAAAGCTAAAACCAAGGGTAACCCAAGGCAGATTACAGCAATTAAAAGAATGTTTAAAAGCTAAAACCAAGGGTATCTTTTAAAAATTAAACAAATATATTAAAAATGGCCCAATAAAATCAATACTAAAAACACATTTAAAAACAACAGAGCATCACAATCCATTTTTTTAAAAAAAAACTTGTTTGCCAAAAAACTTGTCCCTAATGTTTCTAAACACTAAGCTATTCAACAAACTCATTTCTGAAACTGACCAGGAGCCTTGAGAGACCCTGACTGAGGTAAAAAAGGCGGGAAATAGACACTGAGGTACAGAGGGAAACAACTGGCTACTTGTAGTGATTGACATTCACTCAAGAGTCCCTCTTATCAACACCTCTTAAAAAGACAATGTGCAGGTTGCAATTTCAACATTTTGTTCCCTAGTGGCCAAACCTTACAGAAAGCCAACAGGAGTGCAATGGCAGTTTTTTCCTCTTTTTTTGCCAAATACTTAAATAGAAAAATATGATGTCTCTGACACTTAAAGTAATGTATGGCCGTAATGAATAATGATAATGAATAGTAATGGCAGCACATTTTAATATTTTAAAATCGTGATTCAGTGCAACAGCAAAGTAAAAATAATTTCACAATCCTTGTGTCTAAATGTATCGACCTCAAGTAGCCTTCCAGCTCCTGCTGTTAGAACACTTCCCCTGATCCTCTGTACTTAATTTGTAAAAAAAATATTCTTTGCCATTTTATTGTCAATCAAGAAACTGCCAGGAAACTGCAGTTTCAGTTAGCACTTCACGCTATGATCCTGTCCAAATGGTTATATAGATTGCTGCTTGGATCGCTGAGGGTATGGTTTCTTTCAAACAAAGTTACAGTGTCCCCATGTATTTCTTCTTAGATTGCTGCATCTTGCCCCTTTAAGAGCTGCCCCACTCCTTTCTGACACATCAATAGGGCTTTTGTGTTTTGTTTTTTTATACTGTATTGCTATTTATCCAATTGTGTAGCCTGTGTGGGTGATTAATCCACACCAAAATAGAGCCATGGGCAGCAGTATCTGAGCTGACAACCCTGTGCCATATTAGGTGGGTTCTGACATTAAAAGGGAGGATGAAAAAACCCTCCTCTATTTTAGTATTTTTCCCCCCTCTTACTATTTTCCTAATTAACACAGTAGAGTTCTAATACCATGCTAGATTGATAGATTGCCATTTTGACATTCTGCTTACTTTGCTTAACAAAAAAAGGAAATACATTGCAACTCCTCTGAATGATACTCATGAGAAAAGGCAGGGAGGGGATTTTTATTGAATCTGTGGGCTTCACCCTCACAAGTCAGGGAAGCCCCAGCAGAGGCGCAGCTGAGCAGAAAGGGGGGGCAAATTGGCTTTCTGTATCCCAGATGTTTTTCCCCTCATGCTGTGGCTGTCTTTGGCTGCTGGTGCTGCCTCCTAAATTTTAATTAACCTGATAAACCCTGCTTGTGAGTAAAGTGATGATCCAAAGATCTGCACGGACCCTTCTCACTGGCAAATAAACATTTTCAGTGTGAATGGAAGGCTTGCTCAAGTGAGAGATATAATAGATTGCACTGAAGATAAAAACCCTTTGAGCCTGATCCAGACTGCTCTAAATTCCCCTGGCTGGACAGATGCAAAGGCAAAGGGAAAATATTTTAAAATCGTGATTCAGTGCAACAGCAGAGTACAAATAATAATAATTTCACTTCTTTTGCCTCTCCACCGAGGAGCAGGCAAAGTATTCAATTTGCCAATAGTGTATCCTGAAATAATTTACTGTATTTATTAAGCCTCTTCACTATGCTGGAAATTAACAGCAGGAGACTTGGCAGGCTCGACAGCTGCAAATATTAATTTTAGTCCCTTCTCAGAAACAGATGCTGGAAATGGACTAGGGTGCACACACCCCTGCAAAACAAGAACCCCTGATGGGCTCAAAAAGGTGCTGGTTAGTGTCCCCTGGGACAGATAGGCCTGCTCTAGCAATTATGTTGTATGGTCAACAACAAAAAATGTTAAGTAATCTGACCACACCCCATGACAAACCAAACAGTGGGGGAAAATGCCTGTCTGAACAATCTTCAGTGAGGAGGAAGCACCACACATCTTCTTTAGAGATGGGGGCTTCGTATTCATATACAAACACAAAGCTGACCCAGCACAAGTGGCTGTCCTGATTACCTTCTACCACACACCCTACCAGAGCACTTACCATGCGGCCCATGTGGCTGGCATAATCTCCTTTGCCCCAATTGCTGCCATAGCTCATCTGCTGCAGCCCCATCTCCCTGCTTGCCCAGCCACTCTGGCAAGGGGACTGGAGGATGAGTCTCCCTGCTCAGCTGCGGAGTGGCTGGGCGAGCAGGGAGGTGGGGCTGCGGCAGCCAGGCTACTGCTGCAATTGGTGCAAAGGAGATAACACTGTGTGGTAAGTTGTCCGGCAGGGCCTGGGGGTGGGAGGTAATCAGGCCGGCCTCCTATGCTGGGGGCAGCGGCTTTCTATTCATATATGAATATGAAGTCCCCATCTCTAATCCCCTTACATCACTGTACTGTGCCCAGGTAGCAGAGGATGGGTCTACACACAAATAGAACACCAGCAGGGGCTGGTGGTAGTGGCTGAAAGGCCCTGGGGTGGGGCGGCAAGGGAGTATAGCTGCTGTTCTCTATAATAGTAAGTTATATTCCCGTTGTTCACCCTTCCTGCTCATCCACTATGCAAATAAAGAGGGGCTTACCTGCATGTCGGTTCCAGTGCTCCATGGTGAAGGTCATTTCCTCTAGTATTTGGGGAGAAATGTGAAAAGGGTTGCTGTTATTTTTTTCCACTTCCACTATTTTGTTGGGATGAGCTTCTGGAGAGTGACCATTAAGTCAGAAACATATTAAAAATTAAACAAATTCAATATTTATTGGAAATAAGTAATGGAAAGTCGCAGGTGTTCATTAAAATAGGGAAAACACAGAACATACTGTACTGCAAATATTGCTAATAATGATTAAAGCACAGCAACAGAAGCAGATGCAATATAATTGTCATGAAAATGATAAAATAATTAACTAAATATAAGAATCAACAGCACTAACTAATAAAAGCATAACAGATGGCAAATGCTATACAGTACAAAAAAACTAGCATTTAACACCAAACCCCAATTTGTTGTTGCACCTTCTCCAGTCATAAGTCATAAGGGAAAGGCATGTCTCCTGCTCCATTTGAGAGTTCAGGATTCTTAGATGGTTTAAGTTTTTTAAGTTCCAAAAAGTATATTAAAAGTTTTTCTATGAGGTGTTTAAAAATCATCTGGAAAAGCTGAACAGCAATACTAAAGAAGGAATTCCAGAAGAGGAAATATTTTCTTCTTCAAGGTGGCATGCATACCTAAAAGTTTCAGGGAACAATGTTGTAGTAAAGAGCAGTGGGTGTTATTTAGGAATATTTACAGGTAAAATGTCTCTCTTTTCATCCTGAGAGAACAGAGAACACATATGCAGCAACCCAAGCACTATGTTCTTGGTTTCAAGCAAAGAAATATCAAACTCAATTGTGTCTGGTAACAACCCAGAACTTCTCTGTGTCCTGTTTAGATGTTGCATCACCCTAGTTAAAACTGACTTCTTTTAATCTCTCTTTTTTAAAATTGCAAGATACTGTACATTGACACTGTGGTTTTCTGCTCTCCCCACCATAAGGATTCAATTTTGGTGAAACATGTCTGATCTTGAGTGTGTTTCCTGGGGAAAAACTTTGAGGAGCATATACCCTGTAGGGAGTAGAGTTCTTCGTAGTGTGCAGGGCCTGCCTCTTTTAAAAAAATAGGTTTAAACAGTAACTCCTCTCCTTGCTGAGTGAGTGTAGTCTCTTTAGAGATCCTGCTAGAACTGATTAGAACAAATTAGTCTGCTTTGCACTGTGAGTCGAAAGTGTGATGTGGCTGTTAACAGTTCACTTTGTTATACAGTGGCTTTGAAAATGTCCATACTGGTATATAGCTATCCTAGAACCCTGATGGCCCTCTTTGGCTTGAAAGGAAAGACCTTGTCTGCTGTGTTTCTACTTAGAACGATCCATCCTTTCCCCTGAAAGAGCTGCCGTGCACCAACCTAGCACAGGGCTAGAGCATACACTTTTTTTGGTACAATTCATTGAAGTGCAAAACAGCTCTTGGTTTAGCCTTTGGGGATTGGTACTTTCACCAAAATGACACTGGGAGCAGCATTAACTGAGGAGACATTCCTGTGATGTATTAAGTGGGTTCTGGCATTAAAAGGGAGGATGGAGAAACCTCCCTCTTCTATTTTATTTTATTTTATTTTATTTTATTTTTTTTTATTTTATTTATTTTATTTTTTTTATTTTTTTATTTATTTATTTATTTATTTATTTATTTATTTA